GTAGTGAATTTCTTAAGAGTTTTTGAGAATGCTTTCTGGAGCAAATGACATCTTGAACCAATAAGGGGAGCATTCTTTTCTTCTGATTTCAAGGTAACAAATGAGCCTGAATTAGCCAATAGTGTAACAGTATGGAAACAGCTATTAATAGTCAACGTAACTTGACTGAACTCAATGTTGGGTTTGAGTGAGAGAAGGATGAGTCAGGATTAAGGTTTGAAATTTGCAGAAGTCAGATGTTGGTGGGATGAAGCATAAATTAACCAGTTGAATTGAAAGAACTGTTAACAGATAGAGATGTTTGAAGTGTTTGGTAAAATACAAACTTGAAATGCCTTTAAAGAGCCAGAGTTCTATTGTGCAATTAAACAAATTGCTTAGCAAAGGAACTGAGAGATGGTACAAACTAAAATAAAAGTCTATACAAAGGCAAAGAACAGTAGCGATTCCGCAGACTGGAATAGATATAAATGCAGCAAAGGAAGATAATGAAAATTGCAAGACAGTTCAAGAATTGTCTCTCTAAAAATTGGCCAATAACATCATACTTTTTAAGGATGTAAAAGATTAACTAGAAAATTATGGATCTATTGGTTTAACGCCAATTGAATCTTTCATCAGGACAGTGGTTGGATTTTCCAGTGCCCACAGGATTGCAACATGCTGTATACATGATCTCTCAGTGTAATCCCTGTGGTAGTCTCAGGATCCTAAACGCTCTGTCAGACTGAAATTTTCAAAGGACCAGAGAGAGAACAGGGAGCCTGCTGGCCACCAATTAACAACCCATTAAGCTCCTTAGAAGCCTGTTAACTGCTTGTCCAGCTAACAGTCTTTCCTCTGACCTTTAGTTTGGCAAACTGAAATATCTGTTTCACTTCAGTGTTCTGTATTGTGTACCTAGCAAGGACGTTGACTAGTTAATTTAAATGTGTAAGACTTAATTTTAATGTTGTAACTGGCATCAGTCCAAACCATGTAGCTTCACCTAATGGCTTCTTTCATCCCCATTGCTGCTGACCCTTTGAAGAGCTCTTTGCTCAATTTGAGAAGGTGGCAGCAGCTCCAACATGGCTGCCAGCTGCCTTTACCACTGGTGCTAGCCAGATAGTTCCTGCCTTCGAAAGAACTCAACACAACTATTTCAGCATTAGAGATAGCAGGAACTGCAGATGCTGGAGAATCTGAGATAACCAGGTGCAGATCTGGATGAACACAGCAGGCCAAGCAGCATCAGAGGAGCAGGAAGGCTGATGTTTCGGGCCTAGACCCTTCTTCAGAAATGGGGGAGGGGAAGGGGGTTCTGAAATAAATAGGGGGAGGCGGATAGAGGAGAAGATAGGTGGAGAGGAGACAGACAGGTCAAAGAGGCGGGGATAGAGCCAGTAGAGGTGAGTGTAGGTGGGGAGGTAGGGAGGGGATAGGTCAGTCCAGGGAGGACGGACAGGTCAAGGGGGCAGGATGAGGTTAGTAGGTAGGAGATGTGGGTGGGGCTTGAGGTGGGAGGAAGGACAGGTTAGGGGGGTGGGGATGAGCTGGGCTGGTTTTGGGATGCGGTAGCGGGAGGGGAGATTTTGAAGTTTGTGAAGTCATGTTGATACCATTGGGCTGCAGGGTTCCCAAGCGGAATATGAGTTGCTGTTCCTGCAACCTTCGGGTGGCATCGTTGTGGCACTGCAGGAGGCCCAGGATGGACATGTCGTCTGAGGAATGGGAGGGGGAGTTGAAATGGTTCGCGACTGGGAGGTGCAGTTGTTTAGTGCGAACCGCGCGTAGGTGTTCTGCAAAGTGGTTCCCAAGCCTCCGCTTGGTTTCCCCGATGTAGAGGAGGCCACAACGGGAACAGCGGATGCAGTATACCACATTAGCAGATGTGTAGGTGAACATCTGCTTGATGTGGAAAGACTTCTTGGGGCCTGGGATGGGGGTGAGGGGGGAGGTGTAGGGGCAGGTGTAGCACTTCCTGCGGTTGCAGGGAAAAGTGCCGGGTGTGGTGGG